TATATAAACTAACTATAGAATTCTCTCTTATATATAACTATAGCCTAGATATAGTAAGAGAAGTAGTTATAGATAGCTATCTATATTTACACTATACTTAAGATATAGTTTACTAGAAACTACTTAAAAAGCTCTATCTTCTTAAGAGATAGCGCTATAAGCTTAAAAAGCTCTACGCTAGATTTACTATCTATATAAGTAGTAAAGTTTATATAAGTAAGCTATAGACTTATATTATAACGCTAGTTACTCTCTTTAGAAAGAATATTATAAATACTAGTAAACTCTTCTAATTTACGCTTCTTAGTGCTAGCTAGTATAGCTTTAAAAGTATTACTACTAAGCGCTATAGTAGTAGAATGTAGCTAGATAATCTTAAAGAAGAATATAGTAGTAGTGCTAGACACTATATAGTTAAATAGATACTAGTAAGATATAGCTATAGTATAGTTTAAGAAGAAAGCTATTACACTAGAGCTATATAATTTAGCTACGTCTATATTAGTAAAAGCGTAATAGTAGGTATAGATATAGGTTTATAAGTGTTTCTGCGTAGTATCTTCTATAGTAATGTACTAGTATATCTTAGAAGAGACACCTTTTATTATAGTATATATTAACCTATCTACTATAGAGATAAACTTAATAAGTTTAATTAGAATAGATAGAAGAATAAAATTAGAGTAATATTAGTGTAAAGATAGAATAATAAGAGCTAGATAGTTAATAATAGTATAACGTTTATCTACTACTAGACTCTAGTACATACTAAGATAGACTACTAACTTATCTAGTAGAATAGTAATTCTATAGATTTTATAAATAAGAATATTCTATTTCTTATAATAGTAGAAGATCTCTAGTAATTCTATAGTAATAGTAGAGAAAGAAGCGTAATAAGAAAGAGTATAGTATAAATATAAGTATAATAGCTAATTAATAGTAGAAGTTCTAGAGATAGGTAGGTAAATAAAAATAGTACTAGGCTTCTATAGTAATAGATTAGTCTTTTAAAGAAAATTTCTAGAATTTAATATAATATTAATAGTAGCCTAATTATAATACTAATTTTAAAGTAAATAAGTAAATAGATTAGCGTATATAGTAACTACTATAAGTAGTAGTAAAGTAATATAGAATAGATAAGCTAGTTACTATAAATAAAGTTACGTTTAGAGTAAACTAAAAAAATACTATAATAGTAAAGAAACGCGTTATAGAAGTCTATCTAATAGTGTCTTAGCGTTTAGAAAAAGAGAAGATAAAGTTTTACTAACTCTAATATAGCTATAGAAATATATAGCTAGAGTAGTTAAAGTATAAATAAGTAGTTCTAAACCTTATAACTATAGAGGTTATACATTTAAGAATAGTGTAACTTTAGTATTATAGCTTAAAACTTAGGTTAAGTAGCTGCGCTAGTAATTAGTAGTATAAGATAGTACGCACTAGTTTAATATAGGTACTAAATTAGTATATATAGATTAATAATTAGTATAATTCTATTATTACTAGATATAAAAAGAGAGTTATAGACTAGTAGGCGCTAGTATACAACGTAAATTTTCTATTTCTATAAGTATACTTACACTTCTACCTATTACTATGTTTAGTAAGTGCTAAGATAGCTAGAATAATAGTATCTACAAATCTACTACTATAGTAAATAACATATTTCTAAAGAAAGAGTATACTAATACTTACTAGTTAGAGTTTTATAATAGTAGCGCTTCTTAGAAGTTATTAATATCTTAGTTACTATTCTATACTATAGTATAGATATATAAGCGTATTACGTAGAAGAATCTAGTATTATAGATTTCTAATAAGTATAACGTACTTACTCTTATAGGCGCAATACTAGTACTTTTAATATTAGTCTAGAATAAAGCTAAAGTTAGAAAGAGTAAAGTAGAAGTAGATATAGATAGCACTACTTTTATAGATAATATAATATTAGAGATAGCTAAGAATATAGTAGATAAAATAATAATCTAGCTAAAGAAATAATAGCGCTAGAGAAAGAGCTTAGATAGTAGTATAAAATAGGTAATAGAGAAACACTAAGTTAAGAAATTAAAGTACTAGAAAAAGTGCTAGACTTCTACCTAGAAGCTACTAAATAACTTTAATATAAGAGTTAAAATAAATAAAAAGTAGCTTATATACTAAGAGTACGTAGAAAGGTAGAAGAAGATAGGCCTAGCTATAGTAAAGAATTTAATTTATACTAGGTGTAGTGTTATCTTAAAAGAAGCGTTCTAGAACTAGTTAGCACTAATAAGAGTTTAGTAGTAGTAAGCTACTAAGAGACTAAAGCTACTATAGATTATAACGTAGAGTAATAACACTACGTTACTAGCGTATAATAATATAGTTTCTATTTATAGTCTTAACGTATAATCTTAGAGAGTATATAAGAAGAAATATAATAGAGTAATACTTATAGAGAGTATAAAGTTATATATAACTATTTAATATTATATTAAATATACTAAGCTTTATAAAAATAGGTTAGAAATAGAATAGATTATTAAAGAGTACTAGAATAAAAGTAGTAGAGAAAGACTAGAATAGAGAGTTATAATATTTGCAAAAATATACCTACTAAAAGTACTCTATAGTTAGAACGTAAAGAGGTAGACGTATAGAAGAGAGTAGATAAAGTTTAATAAAGTTATAATATATAGAAAAAGGTAAAGCTATTTTAAGATATTATTTAGAGTTAGCGCTTTTACGCTATTACTAGAAAGAGTTAAGAATAGTTAGGTTAAGAGCCTATAGAAGGTAATATTTCTAGAGTAGTATAATTTTATTATTACGTGCAATAAATATATAGTACTACTATTAGATATAATTAAAAATATAATAATAATACTAATAGAGAGATACTTTTTACTATTAGAATAGTTTACGTTTAAAGATATAGAGAAATAGAACTATATTTATAATAATCTAGAAAGTCTATAGTTTCTACTCTAGTTTTATAATCTAAATAATAGTTATAGGTATATTTAGGTTAGATAGTGCCTAGTAGATACTATAGAGTCTAGAGATATAGTAGAGAAGAGGTGTTTAAGTAAAGATATATTATTTTTAGAGTATAAGTAAATATAATAGTTTTACGTTATACTAAGTTTAAACACGTTTAGCGTAATTTCTAATATTAGTATTATATACTATTATATAGAGAGCTAAACTTAGTTATAGTAATACGTTTCTTATTCTAGTTTCTTTCTATATTATATCTACTATATCTTCTTCTATTATTATATATCTATAATTATCTTATAAGTAATAAAGCTCTACGCTAGTAATATTTACTAATATTCTAGTCTACTATAACTAAACAGACATAGCGTCTAGAACTAGAGCTGTAGGTATAGTAGAGCCTCTCTAAAGTAAGAGAAAACTACTAGATAGTTTTATTTTAGCTAAGTATAAATATGCTATATATACTACTATACTATTAAAAAACGTATTTATTAAGAACGTTATCTACGTTTATACTCTACGCTAATTATCTCTTTCTACGTAGTTATTAAAACGCGTTACTACCTCTACTCTAGTTTAGAATAGTAAGAAGTTAGTGCGTATCTACTATAAAATATTAAGCTTTAAGTATATTTCTATAGAAATTAAGGTAGAGTTTAAGCGTGTAAAAGGCCTAGTAGAAAAGCTATATATAGATTAAAAAGAGTTATATTATACTTAAATAGAAATAGCTTACTTAGAAAAAGTAGTAGTAGCGCTATAAAGTAATATTATAATAGAAAGACTAAAGATAGCTAAAGTCTTAGATAAGATTAATATAGCTAAAGTAGAAGTAGCTTAACTCTATAGTTATATTAAAGTAAGTAAAAGTATACTCTATAAAGTTACTAAAAGCTATAGAACTATTATTAATACTAATAATACTACTAAAGTTAACTACGCTAGTTTAGATACTAATAGTATACTTATTATTAATAGTAAGATAAAGAATAATTAATAAGCTTTAGTATATAATAGCTAAAATAGAGAAATAATAACTCTATTCTAGAATATATATTATACTTATATAATGCAGACTTTCTTCTATACGTATAGTAGTTATATTCTAGTACGTCTTCTACCTTCTGCAAGAACCTTTATATATAAAATAACCTAACGTAGACTAAATCTATCTATTCTAATATACTTTCTATATAATATACTACTATTATATACGTATAATATATTACGTCTTATTATAGACTCTAGCCTACTTATTACGCGCGTAGAATAGAAGACTAAGATAATAAATTTTATAATAAGTTTATACTTAGATATATTAATATTTAAGATAAAGGTTTTATTACTTAAATAAATATAATAAGTTTACGTTAGGTATAGATATAAAAGATACGCATTATATAGAGGTAGAAAAGTTTTATATCTAGCCTAAATAGTAAAGTTTAATATTAAAGTTAGATAGTAAAGGTTTTATATCTAGATAAGAAGTAAATAGTTCTTAGTACTTACGTATACTCTAACTATAGGCTAGTAGGTATCTTACTTTATAGTTAGAATTATATAAAATGTATAAGTATATTATTACTTATATAGAAGTGTATCTACTTTATATAAAGTTAAAAGAATTAGTAGTTATAGAATACTTATAAGAAGATTAATATTTAGAACTTTAATCTAAATATTATCTAGAGAATCTTATAGACTTTAACCTAAGTAAGCGCTAAAAACTAAAGTAGCATAGACTACTTACAGCAGACTTTGACTTAAAGTCTACGTATCTAATACCGATAGAACAAGACTCTCTAAAGGGGTCTTCGTTCTGGTAGCGATGCGCTTCTTGAGATTGGTTGCCTTGCGCGCGATGGCCTGAACGTCGTGCGCTTGGCTTGTTGCGCGCAACAGCGCCGACTTGCGCGTTGTGGTACTTTGTCTCGTGCAGATTCATCCTGTGTCTATAGATCTGGTGGCCCGACGATGTCTGGCAGAATTTTGCGACATCAAGTTCATCACCCATCCGCGATCTCGACCGTCGCATACAGATGCGGTTCTTCCGAGTTCTTGTTCTTTCGAATCCATTTCACGATCATCTTCCAGCGCTTCTCCAGTGTACCTTGATCAAGACTAACGCGGTAGGCTTCTTCCTCGGGACCTTCCTCGTCCGCTCTCAACAGCATCGCTACTCTCTGCCTGTCGAAGTTGTCACCGCGCTTTCGGTCTATGGCCATACATTGAAAGGCTTGGAAGAACTGCTCTCCCGAACTGCTGATATCGACTGACATGCTGATCGGCATCCTGCCCCAGTAACCTTCAATTTCGAGCTCGTCGCTCGGATTGCCTTGACTCGTAATCGGTATGGGTGCGCTACCCTGCTGACTGTGATTCACGGGCGCTGATGGGGCAGCTTGGGCGGGTGGCTCGGACCCTCGCATGCGTTGTAGTTCGTGTATTGCACCGACGCGCCCGAATGCCCGTTGAATCTCGGGAGACGGTGGCTGATATTGGGGCTGGTATGGGGGCATCGGCGCAGGCGGCGGAACTGCTTGATGGAACTCGTCCCCGCTGACGAAGCCTCGTAGGTAGCGACCTTGAGGGGAATGCGCTTCTTGAACTTCTGTTGTCGCAACAGACAGATCAGCCTGGTTGTGCGGACATTGAGCGAAACGTGTGGGACTGACCTGAAGGGAATTGACGCTCCATGGACTCGTCAGATGCCAGAACCACGTCGCTTTCGAGCAAATTCTCTGGCACGACGTAGAATGTACCCATTTTCGTCTTGCCCTTGTTGCGACCAGGATTACGCCATGTTAGGTCTACAGCAGTCGTGACTCTTGCCGATCCAGAAGGCGTGGGCACCAGCATCGACTCATCCAACCGGTATTGATTGGCACTAAGACCGCGGCCACCATAGGCCACGTCGTCACCGATGAGATTATGCTTCCCTGATCCGTACATCGCTATCACCACCTGATCCGCGCTGTCGTCGTCGCATGTGAGGATGGTGATCTTTTCCATGCCCGCGGCCGCGAGACCTGAAGCAAATGATTTATTTGACCCTGCGCTGGCGGATGGAGTCTGTATGCTGTTCCTCATGCGTTGCATGTGATGACGTCCCGATGCTTGTTGTGCGGAAGAGTTGCGATGATGCGAGGGCGCCGGCAATATTTCGTGAAGGTGGTCAGACTCAGTCTCGAGGTTTCGCTGAGGAGGATTCTGTCCGATGAACTGCTCGGTCTCTGCCTTGATATTTGCATCTTTCAAATAGTCCATCAGAAGCTCGACAGCCTTAGTAGGATGGTCCCTGAGAAGACGATGCGCTAAGGTCAAGCGATCGCCCATCGCGCGCAACGTGAAGTGTTGGGGTCGCAGCCTGCCTTGTACGCGCGCGCGCAACTTTGAAGTGCGCCGAAGGGCGCTGAGGCAAGCTCTTGCCCAATGCGATGCTCTACTTCGAAGCCATGATGCGGGAAGAGCTGGCGACGCTGATTGTGTGGTGTAAGTGGGTGTCCGTGTAACTGCGATGTGGGTTGTACATCTATCTGTTCGCATGGGCGCGGCTGCACGTTGGAAAGATCAAGTGGGGCAGATCTCCAGGTTACGCATCATCAGGGCGACCGGAACTCGCAGGGATGTCGCTCGTCCCTGCACGCCTTTCAGACGCTATCCCCATCGCAATTGACCGGTAGCGACGCGGCAAATCATGGGAACGGCGAGACCACCCACACGTGACAGCGTATCCCCGCGATTACGCGCATGTGTGTTGGCGCAACCTGTAGGATGTCTCGAATTCACACATCCCGCGTTCGATCCGGACATGAGCCGACTTTGCGTGCAAGACTTACAGGCAGTGCCGTCCCCAGCTGAAGTCTGCTGGCATCCTTCGTTTTGACTTTACATCCTTATCGCGCTGAACTCCCTCACTCACTCTGAACTCACTCGCGCTGCACTCGCTCACTCTCAACTCACTAGCTCTGAACTCACTCGTTCTCGACTCACGCACTTGAAACCATGAGTAGCTTCTACAGAAGCGATGTCGGCCAGTCAACTCGCGCCACTAAAAGTATAGCTGGATCAGAGACATCTGCGGTACGGCGTTGCACAAAAGCAAGACAAGCAACACAGGTGTCAGCTGTTACTGGGAATAGAGCGTACGGCAGTACTCTGCAAATCAACGGCAACGTCTGGGATAATGTCAAGAGCTATAACATGTCAGTATCCCCCGTGCGACGTCCAAGAAGCGCTTTGACTCCAGGACAGTGAGCGTGTTGTCGTCTCGTGCAACTGCGACATCGCAAAAGCTTTCGCAAACAACGGGTCAGCTCATCCCATGCTTGCCTCAGCGCCGATCAAGCCTCATCTTCCAGGGCCAGCCAAACGTCCTGCTCCTTTCGATGTCGTGAGTTGACGAACATGTATCATGCGTGCTCGCACTGACTGTGCGCAAGGTTACAGGATCGCAAATCTCGTCGTTACTGAAAGCAAAACGAGACATCCCAATTGTCTCCAAATGGAGTGGACGGCCAGACAAGATCTGCGTAATGTTCCCACAAAAGTTACGAAACAACTTCGTCTCTCGCGATGTCATCGATCGTCTCGGTTTTGCAGCGCGTCTCGATACTGCAACAGTAAGCTCATTAATCTGGGATTTGAGGCGCTATACCTCGACCGGTGAATTTGTGGAACTCTCTTTTCCTCTGCCGAGCGGTGACGAGGGCGTCGCGCAACGTTTCATCGTTTTAGATGACCCTCCTTTTGACATGCTTCTTAGTGGGCCTGCGATACGTCTCCCTCCCTTGAAGGATCGGAAGGCTCTGCTCAAATAGTCTCGTATACCTTCTCTACTTTCCGATAATACCACCTACAAGTTCGGCAACAGCAATCATCTTCTCCTCTTGCAACCTCCGTCCAACAAGCTGCACACTAACATGCGCGCCGTCATAGATCTCAGGGTCATCTGCACTCCTGTTAGCACTCCAATCTCTTCCCAATCCGATATCCCTCCGCGCTCCACGCGAGGCAACAAAAACCCAACGAACTCAAAAGCCTTCAAGTGCACTTACAATCATCCTGGATACTCTTGTCCTGCTCATCAAGCGCCTTGTACCCCTCCTCCTTCACATCAACCTTCTTATCCACAGTCGTAACCGGCACAACAACACTCGTATAATCCAGCGCATTAACCCAAGTCGAATACCCATAATACTTGAACCTCTCCCTTCTCGCAGCGGGAAACGGCGCAAGCGGACAAATCACCGCATCAACCGGCCTACCCGTACTAGTCTTATCCACAGTACCATTCCAATACTCCATATACTCCTTCTTCAGACTTCTCAACTCCACATTCGTAGCCGCGGTGTCCGTAGCGCTGAACTCTTTCTCGACACCTTGGTAAAAGGTAACTTGCGGCGCCATGGGTTCGCCGGAGAGCGCAAACGCGGATTTAACGTCTTTACCCGCGTCGTAGATCCAGGGGCGGAAACCGACGTCGTTGATAGTTCGATGAGACGGTGGCTGCCAGTCTATGACTTCATGACCAGCAGAACGCAGCGCCTCAACAACAGTTTCAATAGCGCGGCGGACGGGGGGCGTGGGGTTCACCACACCATCCGTCATGAGCAGACCGAAGGACAGTTTCTTTGCGGACGTAATCTCGCCTTCTTGGCCCGGGCGCCATGGGATTTCGTGGACGAGGGGGTCGTGGAGCCAGGGGTTTTGTTCGAGCAGGGCTTGAGTTGCGAGGCGTAGGGAGGCTGCGTTTGTGGCGAGGGGGCCGACGACGGAGAGGACGGTGTTTTGGCCGTCCATGGAGTTTGCCATGCCTTCGTAGGGAAGGCGGCCTGTGGATGGGCGGATGCCGTAGAGGCCGTTGAAGGCGGCGGGGATGCGGATGGAGCCGCCGATGTCAGTGCCGAATCCCAATGGCGCTGTGCAGTGTCAGCGACCCACGGTCTCTTCCTCTTAATTGCAAACGCGAACGCCCAGAGCGATTGCCATATCTCTGGCGGTGCCCCACTTACATCCTCTCATACCGATCAATGCGCCCTCGCCACCAGAGCTACCACCAGCCGTTAGATTCCTGTTCTTCGGGTTAAGCGTAAACCCAATGATGTTGTTGATCGTCTCTCCGCTCATCAGCGTATGCGGTACACTGGTCTTGCAGTACAACACAGCTCCAGCGTTGCGCAGCATCTTCACCATCTCACTCTCAAACACCTTCTCTTTGCCAGTATCCTTCCTGCCTTCGAAGGTGCCAATCCAGCCGACGTAGCCCATACTGGTCTCGACATCCTTCACATGGAACTGGTCTTTGAGTGAGATGGGTACGCCATGGAGGGGACCGGTGGTCTTTTTGTGTTTTGCGTAGTATGCGTCGAGCTCTTTTGCATCCCGGATGGCGGCATCGAAGAAGATCTCGTGAAGACATGATAGCTATCCATTCAGCATCATTCACTGCATGTATCAGATGTGCGACGTACCAGTTGATGCGCAACTGCAGCTCGGTGGCAGAATGCCCTCGTGACTTCTTCAGCAGTCCACTTCCCCTCAGCCACGGTGTTTGCGATCACATCGGCACTGCTTTCAGTGATGTCGAGCTCTTGCTTGCTGAAGTACTGCTTCACATAGTCCGTGACATCGACCTGTTCTTCAACCGATGGCAACTTCTCTAGTCGCCATTCCGAGGGTATGGCAGCCAAGATAGCTTCGCGCTTCTTAGCAGCGGTCTCTTCCCACGATGATGTCGTCATGATGTCGGTTTGAGCTGATTGCAGAGGAGACAAAGGCAGTTACCCGCAAGTATTTGGTGTTTGAGGGGAGTGTCGCAGCAAGTTGGGCACGAGAGCGGTTCCGGAGTTAAGATATGCAGCCGCGGGAATGACGTTGAGGGTCGACGCCGTTGATAGCTTCGAAGCTACACAACGGCGAAGTGGGGTAGCTATCGAGCATTTGTTCTGAGCACCTTCCACATTAGCGTAGCTTCACATTTCATGACATGTCTCAGTAGGTTAATGCAGGGTGATGTCCTGCCGATGCGCATACCGCAGAGGGTGAACGTGAGGGGCAGGCTGAGGCGGGGGTTGGAGCGATCGCTAGGTCGTAGATACGATGTTCAGCCGACCAGCTCCACCTCGGCAATCGGGGTAACTCCAAATAGTTATCGTCTATACTCCACACATGACAATGAACCTTACTATTCAACGACTTCTTTCGCTACGTAGGTATCTGGGGTAAAGGCAACAAAGAGGACTGATAACGAACTCATAGAAGAAACGCCAGGCCATGCGAAAGCAAGCAAGGTGCTAAATGCCGACCGCTCGAAAAGGAGTTGAAGAATGTCGCTAGACTAGAAATGAAACGAGGTGTGACAGTCTACGTGGTCGGGGGTGTGGTATCTCAGGAACGACTTTATACGGTCTCGACGTAGTTGCTGTGGCAGTCAGTGAAGTGTTCATGATGGCATGGACTGTGCGACTTACCTTGGGAAGATGCCCTCTCGGCTTCCGACTCTGCCTGTCCACCAGTCGGTCTCGTTATCCGTCCTCTTCAGGATTGTGATAATCTCGCCCTTCTTAAAGCCGAGATCGCCCGGCTGGTCCGCGTCAAAGGTGAACTTGGCAATTGCCTGGTCGGACTGTAGTCCTGCCTTCTTCTGCCCCGTGGTCTGTCCAAACACTGGCTTCGGCGCCGTCGGTCGGCCAGGCTTGCGGTCGCTGTACGAGTAGTCGTCGCCGAAAGTGGAGGAGCGGCTCCGGTTGTCCATGCGGTCGAATGTCTCAGTGGGGTTCGCACGTGTGGAGAAGGAGCGGTTGAGGCCGCCGGGTGCCGAGGACGGCTGTCGGTCGTATACGTCGTCCGCCCATGCAGTTGACTGCGGTCGGTCTCTGTACTCGTAGTCGTTGTGTCCCTGGCCCATGGAGCCGGTGCGGTCACGGCGCACGCCTTCGCCCATGGCCGAGCCCTCGCGGCCCTGCCACACTACGTTGTCGCGCGAGTTGTCGTAGACGGGAATGTCGTTGTACATGGCGTCGTTGGTAACGTTCTGCGCGCCTCCTACGCCGGCAAAGACTCTCGAGTTGAGCACTTGCAGGAGTGGCGCGGCGGCTGGTGGTGGGGGGACCTGTCCGCTGAGGATCTCGCGGGCAGTCCATCGGCGGCCGTACAGCTTCTCGTTCGCATCTCTCCGCTCGATGATGCCACTTCCCTCCAGACTGACACCGGCGAACAGTCCCTTTGTCTTGCTGTAGCTGAAAATACCAGCCACGCCCTTCAGACTCGCCGCGCCGGCAGCCTCGGCATTGCGACCGACGGGCCCCGCCGCGATGGAGACATTGCCGCCCAATGTCAGCGAGCCGGCCTGCGCAAATGTACGGACAGCGGATGCGTCGTTGAGGATGAAGACGAAGTCGGTGAGCTCAAAGCCAATCTGTCCGCCGAAGCCGCCGCCGATGGTTCCGATGGCCGTGGGTGCCGACCACGATCCGTCTGCGAGGCGGGCGACGACGACGCCCGATCCGAATCGCGCTGTGCCGAGGAAGCCGGCCTTGAAGACTGTGAGAATCGCGAGGCCCTGGCATGTGTCAGCATCTCATCATGTGCTGTTGTCTGCCGTGGTGTTTGCTTGGGCAGCTTCGTAACACCAGATGCGCATCGAGTGCTTACCTTTGCATTGGCGAGGACATTGGGCGGGATAATCTTATCGGGCCCAAAGGCCTGTCTGGGGTCGACAAAGGATGCTAGAATCTTTCCCGTCTTGCGACATTCGCCTGAGAGCACAGCTGTTAGCGACGTCACCGGACCACGAGGCGCGCATCAACAGTGCGGGCGGCATGTGACTTACTGCTCATGGACGAGGGCAGCGGGTTGTTGAGACTGAAACCCATCTTGGCGCGCGTGTGGGGGGAGAGTATGGGGGAAAATGTGAGGTAGTTGGGGTATCAGGAGCGTTGCTTATGCCTGCGCTGCCGATGGCGATGGGCAGGAAGCATGGCGGGCGGCCGAGGCGGGGATTATGTCATTGCTTGTGGCTGTGTCTGCCACCCGACGCGTCCGCCCTTGGCGACACCTCGATCAAGAACACGACACGACACGACACGACATTCACAACATCGCCACATGTCACGGGGATGCATTCACTCACTGCACGGCCTTGTAGCCATCGCTGTCGCTGTCGCAAGAGCCATTGATCTACTACCACGCGTCCCGCTCACGCCAAGCCAATTACAGAAGACTTGATCTCCTCTTCACTCAGTAACCGCCACTTACCAACTCACATCCAGTGCACAGCAAATGAATCATCCGCGTCCACGTATACATTGTGGCACGTTCGACATACTGCGCCACATCATCTCTGTTGTCGCATTTCTTACCCTCATTCAGCCTGTCCGTCACACCCAGACATTGAAAACCCCGCTTCGTCACTATCACCCGTGCGAGGAAGGAGCGAAGGGTGGACTCTATGCGGCTCGCGTCAGGTATCGCTTTTACTCAGCCCTGCACTCTCCCAGCGCCTACGCTTTTACCGTCGAGACTTCAACTTGGGCGCATCGTATCTGGTCACGTGCTCTGCCTTATCGCTGTCCACGGGTACCTGCCGCAGGTAACCAAGACGTCCTTGAGCCTATGCAATACCGCGACTTCTACTCGCTGGACTCGCCTTTCGAACCACATTGAGCAAGACTTACGTCTGACATGCATCGCCTTTGACTCTCACTACTGGTAAGACGAGATGCGGCAGATGAAGCGAGACACTTTGAGTCACCTTCAAGTCAAGAGAGGCTGTCTTGAAATCTCTCGCCCATGCAAAACGCATGGTAGACTCATAGACGCAGAAACTGCGCTTGCGACCCACAAACACTACGGTACTCACAGAAGCTACAGCATCTTGATTACTACTCTTCCCGGGCACTAAACCCGATTGTGCTAATTCCCTCACCATACGCTACTGCGAAGGATCATTTGGTACAGTTATAGTAGCGCATTACAAATTTCTGACTCGAAGCGAAAAGTCAGCACTGCATACTCACGCCCTGGCGTTCATCTTCGCGCCCTACATATTAACCAGATGACGTAGATAAGTACCGCGATCCTTTCGCTTTGACACCGACATAAAGGCACGCGCCTGGCGCTACCCGTGCAACACGACGAGGCCAACACAAAATGTCAACAACCCAAATTATGTTCGCCCTGCGGGACCTCTCCTCACCAGCAGACTCCCAAGTCCACCTCGACCCCAGCAAACCCTCCTTTCCACCCTCGCAAGAACCTGACTCAACCGGCCTTGGAGATTCCGAGCAGCCACCCGCCGATGCAGCAGAAGCCATCCCAGACGGCGGCTACGGCTGGACCGTCGTGGCATCCTGCTCCTTCCTCCTCTTCTGGATCAACGGCTACACAACCGCATGGGGCGTCCTCCAAACCGCCATTTTGAAATCACCCGCGCTGAACACCAATCTGCGTACCATCACTTTCGTCGGCAGTTTGTACATGGCTGTCATGGTCGCTTTTGGCATTGGCGGGATAAGAGTTATGAGGTCTTTCGGTGTGCGATACACTGGCCTTGCTGCGACGATCCTTTTTGGAATGAGTCTGGTTGCTACGAGTTTTACCTTGGATCATCTCGGCGGGTTGTTCTGCATTGCCGGGCTGTCGATGGGCGTGGGGACGTCGCTGTTGTATGCGGCGACTAACAGTCTGCCGTTGCAGTGGTTCAGCTCTAAGCTGGGCATTGCCAATGGCGTCGTCAAGGCCGGTGGTGGTGTTGGCGCCACGGTTCTTCCGCTTGCTTCGCAGGCACTCATCGACAAGTTTGGACTGCAGTGGACGTTTCGCATATTGGGCATCCTTATTATGGCGACTGGAGTTCCGTGTACATTGGCGTTGAAGGAACGCGCGACGACTGGCACGCTTTCGCGGTTCGACTGGTCGCTGTTGAAGAACGTCCCTTTCCTCACGCTAACCATGGCCGGTGCAGTCGGCGTCTTCGCACTCTTCGTACCACCCTTCTTCCTACCGCTGTTCGCGAGCTCGATCGGTTTGTCAGCCGGAACTGGTGCAGCACTAGTTGGTGGGTTCGGTGCGTCAACAGCAGTCGGTCGTATCCTGGGCGGATTGACCTGCGATAAGATTGGGGCCTTCAACACGTTGATGATCACCTGCCTGGTCAACTCAGTAAGCATGCTAGCCATCTGGCCAGTCAGCACGTCGTTGGCTCCTCTATTTGTCTTCGCTATCGTAAATGGTTGTGCGAATGGCAGCTTCTTTGTCAGCCTGCCGATCGCCGTCACAGTCGTCGCTCCACATTCCGCCGCGGCATCCATCGCTCTTATGGTCTTCTTCTGGACTCCGGGCTACCTCCTTGGCGCTCCTCTTGCGGGGCTGTTGATTGAAGCGACTGGTGCGGCCGACTCTACGTCGATTGAACCGTACAGGGCTGCTATCTTTTACGCTGCGGGCACAGGTGTTCTCGCCACTTTTCTTGTCCTCGTTGCGCGCCTACGCTTGGACACCAAGGTTTTGAAGCGATTGTGATGAGCCATTCAAGTTATTTGGGCAAGGTTCACGTTTTCAGGACATCGTCATGATGGAATCATTTTCTTCTTGCACGAGCGCAAGGCGACGACGTCGCAGACCATCTATGTACCTGGATCGATACCATACAACAGCTCCAATAAATGGCTTTTCACTTCTTCCTTCGCCCAACTCATCTTGATAGCGTTCTCCGCCAACTTCTGAACCTCCAAATTGGTAAAGTCGCAGTACCTCTTCACCACCAGCAAATTCTCCCACACCCACGTATCCTCCATAAACGCGGGATCGTCGCTCGCAATACTAATCACGATACCGGCGTCGAAGAGAGCGCGAATGCGTTCAAACACCTCGTCAATCGGTTGATGCCGAATATAACTCCAAGGACAAATCGTCATCCCAAGCCCCTTCTCTTTGATCAACGCCATAAGCTCCGCATCACCAGCAGCATTCAACCCATGGTCGATTCGATCCGCCCCTGTCCCCGCGATACTGCATGCCACCTGCCGGATATGCTCGAGAGGATACGGCGTCCCAACATCACAATGCGCAGTAATCCGAAACCCATCCTTCCTTGCCCTCACAAAAATCTCATCAAACAGAGACGCAGGTCTGTCGACCTCATTCGAATCAAGCCCAATACCAACAATCACATCGCGGTATGGAAGCGCCGCCTCGTAATGCCGCATCGCGGACTCTAGTGATTCGTCGCGCAGGAAACACATTATCCATTTGGACTTGACCTGCACTCCGCAATCAGCAATCAGCAAACGCATATATCTTAAAGACTAAAGAGAGACCTCTCGGGCCGGGCTTACATTAAGAATCTGCTCCGCATCCCACGTCGCCTCCCTAAACCCTTGCATCATCGTCTCCCAACTCGTTCCTACACGCGTATGCCCCTGCGGATCAAAGAAAATCTCCGCATACCGCACATTCATCTCATCAGCACGCTCATAATACGCCATAGCAAGGTCATAATAATCCTGCTTCGTCTTCAACACTTCAAAACCGCCGTAGTATGCCTCGAAGAACGATAGCGTCTCTTCTGTGTTATCCATGCGGTTCCCCGTACGCGGTTTCAAAGTATCGTGGGAATCTCGCAGTTCGGCGAGTGAAGAGAAGGGCTGCCCGGTTCGCGGGTTGAGGATGGTTTGGTTGTTTCGCTGCGAGAACTTCCATTTTAGATCGGCGCTTATGATGCCTTCGATGTGGATGTGCAGTTCGACTTTGGGGATGGAGGCGATGTAGGCGTCTTTTGTGGAGGCGATGGAGCGGCGTAGGGCTGCTCGGGAGGCTACGGGGAGGGCGTTTTCGACGTCTGTCATTGTGATCGAAGGGTGGTGTTACGTAGAATTGAGTCGTGAGCGCGGCGAGAACGAGTAGGGCAGCAATTTATTGGTTTGGTGGTGCGACTAGTAGATACAAGAGACAGTCCAATGTATGCTTACCACTTCGTGACTCACCAAATCCTTCGGCTTATCATCAACCCGATCGAGCGGACATTAGCCTAACATGCAGACTATAGGATAAGGCGTCTTGACTAATTGCTAGCTAGAGTTTGCATACTCGATCTCTGATGAAAGAGTGCTGTACGTAACGTTGTCGCGATGTAACGTCCGGAAGGCTGCTTCAAGAAGAGTGCCAAGCTTACTAAGATGGAACCGCATGCGGATCAATAGGAACAACATAGTGATTATCATAACATGTGCGAGGGAATTAAAAGATATCTTTTTCATCTAGCATTATGTGTGTGTAGCGTTCCAACGTTAAGATAAATATATACAGCAAATTAGTCGAATCCAACAGCGCGCGCGCCCCGATGATCTACAAAGCCCAAGCAACAGCACCGAAGACAACCGCCATAACACCACCAGCAACACGGTCAACGGCAGCAGCGCCAGTGAACTGAGCGGGACTAGATGAAGTCGCGTTTGCAGGACCAGTGGGCATAGCACCAGTTCCAGTAGGCACCATAGTCATAGTACCATTAACCATATGCGGGGGCACAATACCAGAAGGCATATGTTCCATCGTACCAGAAGGCATAGGCGCCATCGAACCGGCCATGGTGCTAGCAGCAGGCACAACGTCCATCGCCGTCGAGCTCATGACAGGAAACTCGCTCGAAGGCTTGAAGCCCCTGCAAAGCCCGCCACTGCAAATGTTATACGCACACTGATCATCGCTGCTGCACTCGGCGTTGAAGTTTCCGCATCGCGCGATGAGCATGGCGTTGCTGGCCCAGCACTGCACGCCATTGGCACACTGGTCTGGCTTGACGTAAGGGTTGCAGTCCGCGCCGAGGGGCAATGAGCCCGCGGGAGCAACGACGGTGGATGAGGGCGCGGGCTGA